CATTTTGAGTTAATTTTTGTATATGTTTTGTGGTAGGGATTTAAATTAATCTTTTGGGGGGTGGAAAGGGATAGACTGGGAGTTCAAAATTTGTACATACTGAGAGGCATATGTAGAATAGATAAACAAGATTATGCTGTATAGCACAGGGAAATAAATACAAGATCTTATAGTAGCTCACAGTGAAAAAAAATGTGACAATGAATATATGTATGTTCATGTATAACTGAAAAATAGTGCTCCACACTGGAATTTGACACAACATTGTAAAATGACTATAACTCAATGAAAAATGTTTAAAAAGGAAAAAAAATTAATCTTTTTATGTGTGTATAGCTAGTTGTCCCCATACTGTTTATTGAAAAATGGTTCTTTTCCCATTGAATGGTCTCAACACCCTTGTTGAAAATACATTAACCATATATGTATGGGTTTATTGTGAACTCTCAGTTCTGTTCCATTGACCTAATGTATCTGTCCTTATGCCAGTACCACCCTGTCTTCTTTACTGTGGCTTTGTAGTAAGTTTTGAAATTGGTAAGTGTGAGTCCACCAACTTTGTTCTTTTTCAAGACTGTTTTGGCTATTCCATATTCCTTACAATTCCATGTAACTTTTAGAATCAGCTTGTCATTTCTGCAAAAAAGCCAGCTGGGATTTTGATAGAGATTGTGTTGAAGCTGTAGATTCATTTGGAGAGTATTACCGTCTTAACAATATTAAGTCTTCAATCCATGAACATGGGTTGTTGTTCTATTTACTTTGGTCTTCAATTTCTTTCAATGATGTTTTGTAGTTTTCAGTGCACAAGTTGTACACTTCTTTTATTAAATGTATTCCTAAGTATTTTATTCTTATTGATGCTATTGTAACTGGAATTGTTTTCTTTCTTTTCTTTTTTAATTTATTTTTATTTTTTTATTGAAGTACAGTCAATTACAATGTGTCAATCTCTGGTGTACAGCACAGTGTTCCAAACATGCATATACATACATATATTTGTTTTCACATTTTTTTGGAATTGTTTTCTTAACTTTGTTTTTAGATTGTTCATTTCTAGTATATAGGTCTACCATTGATTTGTAAATATTGATCTTATATCCTGCAGCCTTGCTAAACTTGCTTATTAGCTCTAATAGTTTGTGTTTGTGTGTCTATGTGTTCTTTAGAGTTTCTGTTTATAAGATCGTGTCATCTGCAAGTATAGATAGATGGTTTTACTTTTTCCCTTCCAATCTGGATGCTTTTTATTTCTTTTTCTTGCTTAATTGCCCTAGCTAGAACTTCCAGTACAATGTTGAATAGAAGTGTTGAGAGTGGATATCTTTGTGTTGTTCCTGACCTTAGGGGGAAAGCTTTCAGTCTCTCTCCATTAAGTATGATGTTAGCTTATGTGGCTTAGTAGATGCAGATTTTTCATAGATGCCCCTTATAAGGTAGAGGAAGTTCCCTTATATTTCTATTATATTGAAAGGGTTTTGAATTTTGTCAGATGCTTTTTTTTTGCATCTGTTGAGATGATCATGTGTTTTTTCTCTTTTATTATTATAGTGTATTGCATTGATTGATTATTTTTGTATGTTGTACCAATCTTGCATTCTTGGAATAAATTCCACTTGGTCATGTGGTATAATCCTTTTTATATGCAACTGAATTCAATTTTGCCAGTATTTGGGGGGAGATTTTTGCATGTATATTCTTAAGTGATCTTGATCTCTAGTTTGTTGTTTTTATTGTTCTTGTGATATCTTTGTCTGGTATTGAGGTGATACTGGTTTTATAGGATGAGCTGGGAAGTGTTTCTTCTTCTTTTGAAAAGTTGGTAAAGCATTGCTATTAATTCTTCTTTGAACTTTGGGTAAAATTCCCCAGTGAAGCCACTGGTCCTGGGCTTTTCTTTGTGCAAAGTTTTTCAAATTTTCTATTTCTTTTCCAGTGAATTTTGGTAGTTTGTGTCATTCTAGGAATTTGTCCATTTCATCTAGTTTATATAGTTTGTTGGTGTATAGTTGTTCATAGTATAATCTTATTATCTTTTTTATGTCTCTAAGATCAATAGTTCTCCCTTAATTTTTTTAGGTCCCAAGAACATTAGACTGTAATTCTGAGTGTGCTCTGCTGTTTTGCCTTTGTACATGGTTTTCCCTCTGCCTGAAATGCCATTTTCTGTGAGGACTGTTGGCTTAAACATCACCTCATCATGAAGCCTTCCATGACTGCCTCAGACAGACTTAGTGCTCCCACCTCTGTGTTCCCATTACACCATATACACTCCTCCATTTAAGAACTTACCTCCATGATTATAATTTTCCTCACTAAAATTCTTTTAAGAATTCATTCAGTCAATATTTATTGCATGTCTACTTTGTTTCCAGTACTTTGCTCAGCTCTGAGGTTAGAGTGGTCAGATAGGTGTGGTCTCTGCTGATCTCTGATCTCATGGACCTAGTCTAGTGGGATGACAGAAAAATAAAGTAATTTTGATTTTGGAAATTTAATGAATGAAACAAAGGGCTCATACAGAATCACATGAGAACATCTTCAAAAAGATGTTCAGGGAAGGCCTCTATGACTAGGTGAGATTAGAACTGAGACTAAAAATGATGAGAATAGGACAGCCTTGGCAAAGCAGTGAGAAGAGCATTCTAGGCAGAGATAAAAGTGTGTGTGATAGGTCAGAGGTGGGAAAGCACTTTGTTCAAAGAACAGAGGCAGATGGGTGTGGGTAGTGCATAGTGACGGAGGAGGGAGTGTAGGAGATGAGGCCGGGCTGATTCTGTGCTCAGTCAGTCCTCGGAAGGCTGTGGTAAGGGGTTTGCATTTTATTCTAGCTAGCTTGGAAAGCCATTCTTGCCTCTATTTAGAGAATGATTTGGAGCAAGACAGTAATGGAAGCAGGTTCTAGAATAAGCGGTCAGAATTTTTATTTTGGATGTAAATTTAGAGTGGAGAAGGCCTCAGTATCCCATAAACACAATTGCCTTACTGCATAAAAATCTAAAATTTCCACGTGGAGGAAAAAGTCAAAGGTAAATGTCAAACTGAGGAAGAAATATTTGCAAGGTCCATTAATATAAACTAAAAAGACAACTCAATAGACAAAGAATATGAACTGACAGTTCACAAAAAAAGAAAATAACAAATGCCTATTAAATATATGAAAAGATGCGTAACTTCACTCTTAAAAAATGCGAATTACAAGATAATATTTTTCACATGCCAAATTGGCAATAATGCATTTTAATAACATACTGTGTTGGTGAGACTGTAGGGAAACAGGAAGTCTCACATTGGTGGTGGCAGTATAAACTGGTTCAGCTTCTCTAGAGAGGAATTTGGCAGTATCTATCAGAATTTAAACTGGATACGTTTCTAGGAATTTATCCAGCAGGTAGAAGACATTTTAGTTCATCCATACAAATGGATAGAATGCAGCCCTTATGAAAGAATGAAGAGGAGGGAGGGTATAGCTCAAGCCATAGAGCAAATGCTTAGAATGCACAGGGTCCTGGATTCAATCCCCAGTACCTCCTCTAAAAATAAATAAACAAATAAAGCTAGTTACCTCTCCTCACCAAAAAAAAAAAAGTTAAAAAAAATAAAAGAATGAAGAAACTCTTTATCAATTGTTTGGGAAGGATCACATATTTTTTTTTAACCAAGTTTCACTTTTTAAATGAACAAAAAGGTTGAGAACTGTATAACGTTTGTCTAAAAAGGAAAGGAAAAAATTAAATATTTTCTATTTGTACCAGTAAGGACTCTTTGCTTGTATCATTGACTCTCTCTGGGAGGAACAGAAGAAACCAGAAACAGTATTTGCCACTGGCGAAGAGAACTGGGTGTGTGGAAGATGAGTGGGGAGGATGTTTACCTTTCACTTGATACTCTTATGTATACCATGTGCACAGAGTGCCTATTTTAAACATTGAAACAGGGAGGGGAAGTGAGGAGACCAGTCAGTAAGCTGTGACAGCAAGTAGTCCAGGGAAGAGATGTTGGTGGTCTGGGCTAACATGGCGGCAGGAAGGTGGAGAAAAGCAGACAGGTCCAAGGCCTTTTCTGGAGAGAAAATCCACAGGATTTGCTGATGACGTCAGTGTGGGAGATGAAGGCAAGAGAAGATTGGAGAATGAGTCCCAGGTTTTGTTAAGCAACTGGATGGATGGAAGAATTTTTATCTCTCAGTTGATAATCTCAGGCAGTGTTGTGTGGCTCTTGAGCTTGACTGCCTGGGCTTGAATTCAGCCTATTCTGCTTCCTAACTTGATGACCTTGGGCAGACTATGTAACTGCTTTGTGCTTAGGCACCCTCATCTGTAAAATGGGAATGATCATATGACCTACCTCACAGGGTTGTTGTAAGGAGTAAACGAGTTATTACACGTACAGTTTAGAACAGCTCCTGGCACACAATGAAAGCTGTACGAGTGGTGGTGGTGGTGTTGCTGCAACTCTGTGACTGTGACTGCACTGCTCCTCCTCCTCTGTTGGGAAGTTTTCCTGACCCATGTTAGGGGCTCAGTAAATTTTTGTGGAAAGAATGCTTTAAAATGAATACATGTGTAAATAAGCAGCTGATCTATGAAATGGAAACTTTTTGTTTGTTTGCTTTTGGGGGTGGAGGGAGGTAATTAGGTTTATTTACTTAATGGAGGTACTGGGGATTTAACCCAGGACCTCATGCGTGCTACGCACACGCTCTACCACTGAGCTGTACCCTTCCCCTATTAAATGGAAACTTTTTAAAATTTTATTTTTATTTATTATTATTTGGGGGGAAGTAATTAGGTTTGCTATTTATGTTTAGAGGAGGTACTGGGAATTGTACCCAGGACCTTGTGCGTACTAAACATGCACTCTACCACTTGAGCTATATCCTCCCCCCTGAAATGGAAACTTTTGAAAGGCCCTTTTAGCATTTGAAGAAATGAATTAGTGAGGTTGGTAGGTTATGAGATTTGTGCATATCTTTTTTTTAACTTCCATTTTCTGTGCAGGCCTGAAGGTATTGAACGCCAATACAGGAAGAAGTGTGCAAAGTAAGTATTATCAGTGTGGGTTTCTCTGAGCATAAGCAAGTAGAAGCAATGATGCGTTAGGAAAAGGATCATTTGGAGACAATTCTCTGTTATATCTTTACTCTTATAATCTCATCTCCCTTCGAACTTCCAACTGTCCAGATACTAATATGCTTCCTGAGGAGACTGGCAAAGTTATCTCTCTGACCAGCTGGCCACAAAAATGGGTTTTTAAACAGAGTATAATTTTTAAATTGAGATGTAACTTATATATAATAAAATTTGCCCTTCCTAAGTGTATAGTTTGATGAGCGTTGGCAAAAGCATGCAGTCATGTAATACTATGTCTCCCGTGACATAGAACGTTTCCAGGGCCCCTCTGCAGTCAGTCCCCTTCCTCACCCCTCCCCTGGCCACAAATGACAAATGCTGGAGAGGCTGTGGAGAAAAGGGAACCTTCCTACACTGCTGGTGGGAATGGAGTTTGGTGTAGCTGTTATGGAAAACAGTATGGAGATTCCTCAAAAGACTAAAAATAGACTTACCATATGATCCAGCAATCCCACTCATGGGCATATATCTGGAGGGAGCTCTAGTTCGAAAAGATACATGCACCCCAATATTCATAGCAACCCTATATACAATAGCCAAGACATTGAAGCAACCTAAATGTCCATCGACAGATGACTGGATTAAGAAGCTGTGGTATATTTATACAATGGAATACTACTGAGCCATAAAAAAGAATAAAATAATGCCACTTGCAGCAACATGGATGGACCTGGAGATTGTCATTCTAAGTGAAGTGGGCCGGAAAGAGAAAGAAAAATATATATCACTCATATGTGGACTTTAAAAAAAAGAAAAAGAAAAAAGAAGACACTAATGAACTCATCTACAAAACAGAAACAGACTCGTAGACATAGTAAACAATCTTATGGTTACAGGGGAAATGGAGTGGGAAGGTATAAATTTGGGAGTTTGAGATTTGCAAATGTTAACCACTATATATAAAAATAGATAAAAAACAGATTTCTTCTGTATAGTACAGGGAACTATATTCAATATCTTGTAATAACTTTTAATGAAAAAGAATATGAAAATGAATATATTTTTATATATATGCATGACTGGGACATAAGGCTGTACACCAGAAATTGACACATTGAAACTGACTATACGTCAATAAAAAAATAAATAAGTAAGTGGGATTTTAAAATAAATAAAGGAAGGAAGGAAGAAAGAAAGGGAAGAAAGAAAGGAAGGAAGAAAAAAGAAAAGAAAGAAAAAGAAAGGAAGAAGGAAAAGGAAAGAAAAAAAGAAAAGAAAGAAAATGATTTCCAGCTTTAGGTGGTTAACAATGACACTATTAAACTATAATTAGTTCAATCTTGATGTAATCACATCTCCACCTTGGCTCTCAGAAGACTCAGACTAGGAGAATTAAAGCAGGGAACTGGCTCAGAAGGCATTTTACTTCATAGCCACATTGGATTTGTTATATTAATTTTATCATATCTTATGAGTCTACTTCATTTAGCCGAAAAAGTATAATAAAACGGCCAACTGAAGAATGCATGGCTATTGCTACAGGGCTGGGTGGGCCAACCACTGCAGTGGCGCCTTTGCTCTCTTTCTTGACTCTGCAAAAACAACACCACCCCCAAACTAGTTTCTCAGACTTCTGGGAAGAATGGCAGCAATTTTAACTGGAAAGCAATCCCTAGCAGGAGCCAAACTTGTCTAATGGGCTAAGAATCACTTGGAATGCTAAGACTGAATCCCAGGCCCCACCCCCTAGGATTGCTGAATCAGGATCCTTTGGGGGAGGGACCTGGGAATCTGATCAGCAGTTTTAACATGCATGCACAGTGATTCTTACCAAGTAGTTCTGGGTAACAGTGGGAAGAGCTAATCGTTAGTTTATGCCACAAACAAAAATATTCCCAGAGACTAAGCACGCTTTGCAAAGCACTGTTTTGGGCCTTTGGACTCTGAAGCCTCCTGGAGATCCACTCTTCCGTTTGCAGGTGTGGACTGCCACTCTTCTACCAGTCCCAGCCAAAGAATGCTCCGGTGACCTTCATCGTGGATGGAGCAGTAGTCAAGTTTGGCCAGGGTTTTGGGAAAACGAACATATATACTCAGAAACAAGAGCCTCCTAAGAAGGTAATTATCACTGAAGGAAACAGGCTGGCTAATATAACTACAGATTTAGCCCGAAAATTTTAAATAAGATTATAGTGCAGGAGAAGCTGCTCTTTATGGATGCTCTTTTATATTAAGAGAATGCCATTTCTGTGTATAAGCAGGTGTTAACAAAATTGTATCATCTGTTATGTGTTTTTTTCCTTTCCTACAGCTGCTCTGTGAATAAAGTTAGAAATTGTATGCTTTTTATTAACACTTACGTCTTTGAAATGTCTTCTTTTTCCAGTGTGAGCAATTAAAAATGGAATGAATGAGGCTAATCTTTATACTTTGAAAACCCTTGATGGCAAATATTAGAAAAATATAATGCAAATAAAAAGATGGGCACTTTAGATAGGCCAGCCTGTCCCAAAGAGATGGGTGTCCCCCCAACAGTCCCTGCCCTGCCCTCAGCGCCCAGGCTTGTGCACTTGTGTGCACACACTCACACAGATGCACACACACGGCTCTTGGAACCTATTGAGGTATACTAAACTGATTCCTCTTCCTGTAACTCCAGGTGATGATGACCAAACGGACTAAAGACATGGGCAAGTTTAGCTCTGTCACTGTATCTACTATTGATGAAGAGGAAGAGGAGATTGAGGCTGTAAGTGCTTCTGCTTGCAGGGGAATTGGATTGGGATGGCGGAGCTGAAAGGAAAGGGGACCCTCAAACTAGAGCACTGAGTCACAGAATAACTAGAAACTTCACTCAAGCCTTGCTCGGCTACTAAGGAACGCTGTGACCCCGGGCTGGTTCCTGTTTCCCTAGACCTCAGGGACATCTGTAAAATGAGGAGCAGGAAGTCGGACTAGATCGGTGATTTTTTTCATCCTGTTTTTTAAGATGCCTTAGGGGGCAAATCCCTCCTCATCCCTCATCAGTTTAAAACCTGTTGGGCTCAATGATTTCAGTTCCTTTCCAGTCCAACTTTGAAGGTGTGGGCATCTGTCCTTAGCAGAAGCAGCAATTACCTTTATGGTACTTCAGTGTAATGATGTTTACAGAGAGATGTTATTGGTTATTTAAACACAGCTTCGACTGAAACCTGACTCTCCTGGATTATTGAAAAGCTGGAGTTGAAAGGGAGCAGGGTCTTGCCATTTCAGTAATGATTTCATAATTCGAGGAGTATGAATTGCTCCCGGGGTCTGCGTTGTTCCTGTTTGGTGAGACTGCTGGTCTAAGGACGCTTGTTTCTTCCCCCCAGAGGGAGGTGGCTGACTCGTATGCGCAGAATGCCAAGGTGATTGAGAAGCAGCTGGAGCGCAAAGGCATGAGCAAAAGGCGGCTGCAGGAGCTGGTGAGTGGCAAGGGGCAGTGGGTGTGGGCGCTGGGCTGGGCTGGGCTGTTTAGGATCCTTGGTCGGAAAGACCCTCCGGCTGGCAGAGGAATCCTTTAGGAAGTCTGTTGAGGGTTCCTGGTGTAGCTGGCTGCCAGGCGTCTAACCCTGGGCTGTTACTGTTAGTATATATGCTGCTCTGGATAGTGACCACAGGATCTGGGCCCCAAATGACAGTTCTAGGTAGCCAGCCCTGACTGGAATGATAACGTAATCTGCCACTGGGGTTCCAAGGTCAGGAGTTCAAGATCAGGGTTCACAGTTACTCTCCCAGGATGTAATGGCACACAACAGTGCCATGTTGGGGTGCCAGGATCGGGGCTGGTCACTGCTTTTTTTTTTTAATATTTTTTTGTGTATGTTTGGAGAGATACTAGGTTTATATATTTATTTTTTGAAGTACTGGGGATTGAACCCAGGACCTTCTGTATGCTAAGCATGCGCTCTACCACTTGAGCTATACCCTACCTCCTTGGACACTGCTTCTTAAAGTACCACCACCGCTTTCTGTGTTATTCTTGCTCATTGAGGTGCCTACATTTTTGTTTTCTTGATAATAATTTACTTATGATATTTCTTTAAAAGCAGACATCACAGCATTGGTGCCTCATCAAAAGGTATATCAGTCTATTCTAAAGACTGTAGAGGATTTTTTGGTGATGGAGGTGGTGGGTCTTGAGAGCTGCTTTACTTTGCCATCGTGATCTAGAGCAGAGCTTATCAGATTTTCTGAGGTGACGGACCAGTGCTTTCTTTTTTTTAAATTTCCAATTTGTCAAGAGCAGATTTGTAATTTATAAAATGCAATAAAAATGAATTTGCATCAGTTCTTCTTGTGAAACTATTTTATTTTCTTATGACTTGGTCAAATTGCTGTGACAGCCTCTAAATGCTTACCCTCCGTTTTTTTGTGTATCTTCGTGGACTGATAACAAACAGTTCATGGACCACACAACTTTAAGTAGCACTGTTCTAGAACAGTGTTTTTCCTCCCTTTCTGCCAAGAATAAGATGCTGATGTGCCACAATATTGATTCCCTCAGCCCTTCAGAGGTGGTGGGGCTGTGGGATCCCTACACTGATCGCCTTTGAGCATAGCCCTCTTGACCCCATTTTGCCGTATGGGTGTTATCATTTTCTCTGTGTGCCGTAACGTCAGAAAGCAGTTGCTAGAGTTTCCTCACAATTTTAGAACCACAATTCTGGTTTGTATACTAAATGAGCATGAGGGACTTGTGTTGGGGCAGTTAAAATAGGCAGGAAAATCAGAATTTCATGTCATGTATCAGGACATATACTTTTCTTCCTTTCCAGGCTGAACTGGAAGCCAAGAAAGCGAAAATGAAGGGAACCTTGATTGACAATCAGTTCAAATGATCAGGACCTTTCTGTGGATCCAGACTTGAGGCAAGCATTTAGATCAGGAGGAAAAAGAGTGTTTTCTTAACTACATAGGCTGGTCCCTACCTTTATGCCCCAGCAGAAGGCTTTACATGGCTCCGCAGTGATTCTCCTACATTCAGTGAGGTCTTTGAGTCCATCTGACCTGCTTTCTAGAGATGGGTTGTTCTCAGTCTTTCTGTGTATAGGTCTTCTGTACTATTTTTTGTCCATTTGATGTAAACTTCTTCATCTGTGTAGAAGCTCTGTGAATAGATCAGTGCTTGAGTGTCTCTAGTTTCTAAAGTAGCTCTTCTTATTCCTTCTTCAAAGTTAATAAAATGTTTAAAGATTTTTAAAAACAATATTATGATGTGTCATAGAAAAAAGTGGCAGGAACTATATTTAAAATTACAGCAAGCTTGATCCTTTTAAGTGGCTCAGTCTCTATTCTTAGACTGGCAGGTATTAGCTATGTTTGACTCTCTCTACTGTCAGAGAAAATACATAAAAAGCCAGAATCTGCATAAAGCTTCCTTTACTTCAAATATTAAAACTATAGGTGAGCCATCCCTTATCAGACGTACTTAAAGAAAGAAAAGCCAGAATTGAGTGAGGGGGTATAGGATAGCTCTGATCTGAATGAAAATGGGGTCTCAGTGAACAACCCAAGGGAGCTACCATCCTGTCAAGTGGCTATGAGTATTGCTTCCTATGCGGGTACATGGGAAGGGGGCATGATAGAGTAAGAAATGATACTGAGATAAACAAAGGTATCTGTGACTGTCTTTTATTTCACATTTGCTATTTGTGGAGGAGTACTGTATACACAAATATTTAATGTCACGCTGCTTCAGTGACATCAGTCTGTAGTGTTTGTATCCATGCTTTTATCTGTTCACCTGTCTTGCAAGGTGTTGGGGCAGGAGGAGTGCTTTAGCCTCCTTGTGTTATCTGTGTGGGTTGTACGTAGTAGGTGCCTGAGGCGTGTATGTGAGGTACTATTGGGAAATAGTAGGGTATTTTTCTTTGCTTTTTCCCTGATTTCCATATTTGGAAGGAAAAGTAGGTTGGACTAGGGGTAGATGCGAGCTAGCAAGAACTGGAAGAAGGAGGGGTGGGGTCCTGGGAAAGCCCAGGGTGGGGCCGTGTGACCATCTTCCCAGTTACTCTCCTGCATCCATCCAGGGCTTTGCCACCGAGTGTTCCTCTCCACCTTATTTCCTGTCCTCGTTCTGAGCAATCATTAGGCATCATGTGCATAAGCAACCATAACCTCACAGTTCCTTGACCTCGACTCCAGCCAGTGACATTCACCTTCACCCCACTTTAGCCACAGGCTCCCTAGATATCATCTTCACCACCTGTGAAATCCCATATTCTGCTCTCTGACCACAACCTCCTCCCATTGCTACTCTCATACTCTTACTTCCACTAAACTTGTTTTGTTTTTAGATTTGAAGGGTGATTATTTTATTAGTAGTAATAATCAAAAATAGTAGCAGTAATAATAACAATACTAATTTTATCGAGTACTTACTATTTTTATTAAGTCAGGTGCCATAGAAAGCACTTTACAAGGTATTATCTTAATCTAAACAAGACATTAATCCTATGAGATAGGTTTAACGGTTATCATTCTCATTTTACAGATGGGTACTCTGAGGCTTCGAGAGTTTATGTTTCCCACCCAGGAAGCAGTAAACCCGGAAATCTGACTAGAGAACTGTGCTGAATTGCTTCTCCTGTGAGATTTAGAAAAAAAAATACATGATTGAGAACAGATCACAATTTCATTTGAGCAACCAAATAAAATGCAGTGTAAAGACTCTTGCACATGGGGACGAGGGGTGGAAAGGGACTGGGATTTCAAAATGCAGAATAGATAAACAAGACTGTACTGTGTAGCACAGGGAAATATATACAGGATCTTGTGGTGGCTCACAGTGGAAGAGAATGTGACAATGAATGTATGTATGTTCATGTATAACTGAAAAATTATGCTCTACACTGGAATTTGACACAACATTGTAAAATGACTGTAACTCAATAAAAAAAAAAAGACTGTGCTGAAAACCATGCTTCTCCAGAGCAGTTCCTCAGAGTTACCTGAGAGGTGTCTCCTGTGCTATACTCCTCAGTTTGGCTGAAATAAAACTGTTTTCTATTCAAAAAAAAAAAGACCCTTGCATAGAGGACTCCCTATAGCAAATGTGTGGTTACCTTTCTGCATATTTTCTGCGATATTTGTCCTTACATACTAATCCTGAACCATTTCAACGTCTGGTTCAAATTACACATTTTGTTTAATCTGTAAGACTGCAAATTGTTATGTTACTAGCACCAAACAATTGTGTGCTCTTCATTGTGTTTTATTTTCATATCGAAATAGTTATTAAAATAAGATTACATAGTCTCTCTATTCTATTTACTTAGAGTGTTTTAGCCACAGTTGTAGTGTTTTAATGTTAGTATAAGGAGCCATATTGAAATTTGGGAGTCTTTTCCACTTTTTTGTTTGGTTTTGCACATTATCAACTGTGATAAAATAGTAAAATGTTGCCACTGCATTAACTGGTAACATTTAAAAGTGTAACTTTATTGTTTAAGAGAAATTGTAAAGCTTTTTAAAAACTAGCTTGTGTCGACCATTTTAGGAGCCTTACCACCGTGGAACACTTCCTTTTCTTAAGGGAAGATCTGCCCTTTTTTATTTCTTTGAGGTTTTATTCTGCTTTTTCACCTGACTACTCCTCTTTTTCACTCAATTTTAACAAAGCACAGTCCATTACTCTTGAGCTTTTAATCTTTTACATTCCTCCAGGAAAACAAAAAGCATCACTTACGGTGAACTCAACCTGTTTTTAAATTTCACAGAACCTTGGTCTTCCTGTTTTCTCCCAGTATTGCAGCTCTGTCACCCTTGCTCTGTCTTCTGACCCAGCCTGGGCCTGTGATTGATGATCAGAATTCTCAAGAGCACCTTTAACTGTTCTTACCTTGATTTTTTTTAACTTAAAAAAACTTTGGATAATTTTAGATTTATGGAAAAGTTCCAAAAGTAGTACCAAGTTCCCATGTATTTTTCCCTAGAGTTCCCCTGATAGTAACATCTTTTGTAATGTTATGAGCTGCATTGTTTCCCTCTCAAAATTCATATGTTGAAGCCCTAACCCCCAATGAGATGGTATGTGGAGATGGGCCTTTGGGAGGTAATTAGGTTTAAATGAGGTCATGAGGGTGGGACCCTCGTGATGGGATTAATGCCCTTATAAGGAGAGACCAGAGAGCCCTCACTCTCTCTCTCTGTCTCTCTCTGTCTTTCTCTTTTCCTCAACCTCTCTCTCTTCCACAGCAAGAAAGGTAGCCATCTACAAGCCAGGAAGAGAGCTCTCATCAGGAACAGAATCAGCCAGCACCTTAATCTTGGACTTACTTGTCTCCAGAACTGTGCGAAGTAAATGTTTATTGTTTAAGCCACCCAATCTATGGTGTTTTATTATAGCGCCCCAGCCAACTAATATATATAAAACCACAGTACATTGATCAAAACTAAGAAATTAACATTAGTACAACAACACTAAACTACAGACCTCATTTGATTTTCACCAGTTTTTCCACCATGTCCTTCTTATGTTCCAGGATCCAATCCAGAATTTCACATTGCAGTTAGCTTTCATGTCCCTCTAGTCTCCTCTGATCTATGACAGTTTTTCCAGTGGTATCTCCTGCTTTTAATTTACATTTCCCTAATGACAGATGATATTGAACATATTTTTCTTCTTTTTTATTATGATAAAAAACACAACATAAAATTTACCATCTTAACCATTTTTAAATGCACAGTTCAACAGTGTTAAGTATATTCACAGTGTTGAGAAACAGATCTCTGGAACTTTTTCATCTTATATTTCTGAAACTATATACCCATTAAATAAATAGCTCTCCCTTTCCCCTTCTCCCTAGCTGCTGGAAGCACTATTCTGCTTTCTGTTTCTATGAATTCTACTACTTTAGATACCCTCATATAGGTGGAATCATACAGTATTTGTCCTTTTGTGATTGGCTTATTTCACATAGAATAATGTCCTTAAGGTTCATCTATGTTGTACTGTATGATAGAATTTCCTTCCTTTTTAAGGCTGAATAATATCCCAATGTATGTATAGATCACATTTTGTTTACACATTCCTCCACTGATGGACATCACCTCTTGGCTATAATGAACAGTGCTGCTGTGAACATCAGGTACAAATATCTTAAGACCCCGCTTTCAGTTCTTTTAGATATATATCCAGAAGTGGGATTGCTGGATCAGACAGTAATTCTGTTTAATCTTTTGAGGAACCGCCATATTGTTTTCCACAGCAGCTGCACCATTTTACTTTCCCATCAGTAATGTATAGAGCTCCAGTTTCTCCACATCCTCACCAACACTTCTTATTTTCTGTTTTTTGATAGTAGCCATCCTAATAGCAGTGATATTACATGGTTTTGATTTGCATTTCTCCAGTGATTAATGAATGATAATAAAAGATGTTGAGCCACTTTTCATGTGCTTGTTGGCCATTTCTAAACTATCTTTGGAGAAATGTCTGTACAAGTACTTTGCCCATTTTTAATGTGGTTTTTTTCATTGTTGTGAACAGATTTTTATTTGCTAATTTTCCATCCGTGTATCTTCTTTGGTGAAGCATCTACTCAGATCTTTTGCCTATTCTTAAGCTGGGTTTGTTTTTATATTGTTGAGTTTTAAGAGCTCTTTATATAGTCTGGATATAAACCTTTTATCAGACATGTGATTTGCAACATCTCCCAGTCTGTGGTTTGTCTTTTCATTCTCTTAATAGTGTGCCTTTCACAACCCAGGATCATGCAGGTTTTCTTCTAGAAGTTTTATATTTACATTTAGATCTATGATCCATTTTGAATTAATTTTTGCATAATGTGTGATGAATGTATTAAGGTTCATGTTTTCTGACTATTATAGCTTTATAGTAAGTCTTGAAATCAGGTAGTATGAATCTTTTTTGTTCTTTTTTAGAATTGTTTTGGTTACTCTAATTCCTTTGCCTTTCCATATAAAATTTAGAATCACCTTGTTGACATTACCAAAATTCTTGCTAGAATTTTTATTGGAATTGTGTAAAATCTAAAGATCAAGTTGAAGAGAATCAATATCTTAATAATATTGCATCTTATAACCCATGAACATGATATATCTCTCTATGTATTTAGATCTTTGATTTCTTTCACCAGTCTTTTGTAGTTTTTCACCTACAGATCCTGCAAATATTTTGTTCAGATTTATACATAAGTACTTCATTTTTTTCTGGTGCTATTGTAAACCTTACCTTTTTTCAAACAAGGAAAATAATCTCAGGATGTATTTGCAAACTCACTAGGCCTATTCTGATACAAACTTGGGCTGAAATTCCATTTATCTCCTGACCCCAGACCCTGAGCCCCCCAGTCTGACTTGTCTCACAGTGGCGTCCTGGCTCCCCAGAGACAGTGCCTGAGTATTGCCCTTTTCTAGTTGATAGTATACTCTAGTAATTGTTTCAGCACCTTCTGGGGAAGGCCATAAAGAAACTTCATATTACATACTTGTGGCAAGGTCAAGGGGCTGCATTAGCTCTTGGTTCAGAGGTCTCTGGGTAAACCAGTCTGGAATTGGCAACAGGCCTGGGAAGTGGGTGAGAGGCAATGACACTTCATTATAGGGACAATGATTAGAGTTAGTATACACGGTCCAGACCTGTAGTTCTTTATTTTTTAAATTACACAAATCCGTAGGGTAACAGTCTTCTGCCCAAATATTTTAAGCCACTGCCAATGAGTCCTAATTGTCAAACATTTTGATTAACACTTCGGACTTGATTTCTATTACAGCAGCCATGCTTCATTGAAAAAATAGATAAATCTTACCTCCTTTTAATATTATAACACCTGCCCTGCAAGCTTCCAATATAGAATCAGTCCTACAACCTGCTTTCTCTGATCTTTTACACAAATAGATGAGTGTCCTTATCTTGTAAATTAGTGGAGACCAACGAGGAGACTAGGGTGGTAGCCCAGGTGAAAGATGAGGGTGGTTGGACTGGAGTAGGAAAGGAAGAGTTGGAGAAAGTGAATGGAGATGTGTTTTGGAGCTTTTGTTATCAGGACTAGCTGATAGATTGGATGAGGGAAGTGAAGGAGAGGGAAATCAAGGACAATGTCTCAATTTGTAGCTCAAATAACTTGGGTGAATTGAAGTGCCATTTACCGAGATGAGGGGAACAGCTGTCAGGGGAAAGCCAAGCGCTCTGTTTTGAACATGTTATGTTTGAAATGCCAGTTGGCTATCGAAGTGGAGATATCAGGTAGGCAGTTTAGGGTATGCAGTCTGGAGCTCAACTGGGGAGGTCCAGCTAGAGATAGAAATTTGGTGTTTTCAGCACATAGATGTTAGTCAGAGCTGTGAGACAGGGTGAGACCCCCAAAGATGTAAATGTGAATAGCAAAGAGAATAGGTTCAAGGATTGACTCCTGGAGCACTCCATCATTTAATAGTCAAGAGATGAGGAGAAATCAGCAAAGACAGCTGAGTAGAAATGACTAGTAAATTTGAAGGGAAACAGGGTGAAATATCCTGAAAGCTAAGAGAAGCAGATGTTTTATATCAGATGTGCCAGTTAGAAAACAGAAACCACATTCAAAATTTTTAACAGAAAGAATTTAACATGAGGAATTGGTTATTTAGGTGAGAGCTGTTTTTCTTA